ACCACCCTCAGCACCCTGGTGGGCTCCTGCCCGCCTCTGCCCCTTGTCCCCCAGGGCCTGGCACCCTGCAGCCCCCTGAGGCTCTTGACATTTGCTCTGCTACATTTGCAGCCACCAGACCCACACGACCCTCCTCTCTGCAGAGGTGCCGTGGCAGGGCAGCATCACCAGAGGTAGCCCACCCCCAGCACCCCTCAGCCCCTCACTCACGTCTCGCAGCAGCCCACGCCGATGGGGTGCAGGCAGGTGCAAAGCAGGCAGTTGGTGCTCAGCCACGACTCCCCGAGGGAGAACTGCTTCCCCTCGTACTCACAGGGAGCTGCAAAGGAAATGGTGGCGATGAGCACACATGGGCCTGCGCTGGGGCGTGTGGAGCCTCCTTGGCACCCCTCTGCTCTCAAAGAGGGGACAGGGGGGAAGTCATGACCTCCCACCCCTCACCATGGTACAGAAGATACTTGGTGGCTTCTCTGCCACCATGCAGATATGGGATGTCCAGGCATCTGCCAAGGGCAATGCTCCTATCCATCCTCTCCTGGCCCCACCCTGCGGCTCTTCCCACTGCCCCAGGGGCCTGGGGCAGAGGCAAGTAGCTTTTGCTTCTCTAGAGAGGGCATATCCAGCACCCCTCGGGGTCTGAGCATCTCTGCAGCCCTGGAAGGAGGCAGCAGAGGAAAGATGGGCAGCCCTCCTCCCTTTGCCGCTAGTCCTGCACGCTCAGCTCCAACCGGGCTCCTGCCAGGAGCTCTTCATGGCCCAACGAGCTGTTTCTCAGCCAGAGCCCTGGGGAGCTGTTCTGTGGTTTATAGACTGCTCCTTCCACTCATCACTGGCCCACGATCGCGCTCCTGAGCTCAGCACAGTCCCTTCCGCACTTTGCAGGCGCACAGGGCAGAGCCCTGCTGCCCCAGGAAAACCTGAGGCCTCCTCTTCCCATCGGCATCATCCCGGCTCACCTCCCCGCTTACCTTTAGCCTGGAAGTAGCATTTGGCCTGGGAGCCCGGCAGCTGGAGGAGGAGGGAGAGCAGCAGGCAAAGCCTGCCCCAAGCACACCCCATCTTCTGTGCTCGCATGGCCATGGCCGGCGTTGAACTGGGCTTCTTCACCGAGGTTGCCTTGCTTCTCTATTGCCTTTGCTCCTTTCCCTTCTCTCTCTCTCTCTCTCTCTCTCTCTCTCTCTGCCTTTTTAATGCTCTTCCCCTGATCCCAACAAGAGATATTTATAAAGTTCAGCTTTACGACCCTGGCCACCAGCTGTGCCCCACTGGAAAAGTTGTAAAACTCATTTCCTGATTTGAAAGGCATGAAAACAAGAGGTAGGATCAAGATTTTTAACAAGCTGTGAAAAGCTGATTCATGCCCTCCAGAAATGTCTCCAGTTGGAAGCCCCTGTGGGTGCAAGGCTCCGCAGCAAGGGGAGATCCAAGGGACCTCAGCAGGATTGCCCTCAGCAGGGTGGTGAGCATGCAAGCGGCAAGCATGGGAGACCCTGGCCCCTGACCAGGAGAGCTCCACACTCCCCTGTGATCGCGCTGAGCCGTCTCTGATCCTTCACAGCGGCCAAGGTTTCGGGAGCATCCCGTCTCGCAGGGACTGGAGTGGCACAGGCGCCCTGTTAACAACCAGTGTGAGATGCAGTGGCAGCTTCCTCAGGGATGGAGATACTCGCACCCAGCTCCTGGGTACCACAGCACGGCAATTTCACACCAGCCTGGGCTGCAGCTGTGCCAGGCTTGTGGCCATGCATTGGTCTGGGGGTGGCAGTGGGTTTTTTTGATCAAAAGCAGACAGTACGGTGATTGCCCCTGATGTGGAGCGGTTAAGGAAGGCTCTGTGCGAGGCATGACCCAGGAATCATCTGAGCAGTGCCCATGGAAGCAGGGCCATGCCTGCATACGTGCAGCACCCACGAGATGCCAGAGCTGACCAGCTCCTTTCAGAGGCTGGAGACCTGCCCCAGCAGAAACAGGGAACAAGAGGGTTGAAATCAGGAGGCGAAGGTGCATTTGGGCAGCAAGTGACCTGAGAGGGAAACGATGGGCTTGGCTGGAAGTGGGAAGGTGCCACATCACCCGGGGATGTGCCTGTGGTCCACACGGACCCTTACCCAGAGAGGCTGCCTCTGGGTTGAAGTGATAAGGCTGTTATCAGCAGGCAAAGCAAGGGGAGGGATAAGGTGGAGGAGGTCAGAGCCCTGGGATCCACATGGTCCCAGGGAGCGACAAGCGAAGAGCTGAATTGCCAAGAGAAATTCGCCGCCCTCTTCAGAGGCGCTGCTGGCAGCAGGAAACGGGGCTCTGGGGACAGTCCAGCCAGCGGCTCGGCCAGCGCGGGGCTGTGCCGGCAGCGAGGCGGTGGTGGTAGCGGTAGCATATGTGGGTCATCTGCCCCTGCGTTAAGCTCCCTACTTTCTGAGAGTTTGGGATAGGTTTACACCCTGACGCGTGAGGCTTAATATCCCTTCCAGAATTTGTGTTGGCATCTGCTATTATAGCTGGATATTTTTGTTATCCCCGTAAATGCCCAATCCCTCCTTGAATCCTGCTAAATTTTGGCCTGAGCATTTTCCTGTAGCAGCCTAATTAAGCAAGGAGTGAAAAAAAAAACCGCTTCCTTTTATCCGCTTTGGATTCGCCACCTTCAGATTTGAAGACATAGTCCCTTCGCGCTGCTGTTCCAGGCCCCCTTGCCATCACATTGCATCCCCATCCTGTATCTTGTGCTCTCATCTCCAAGGGAGCAGCCCCGGCTTTGCATCCCCTCTCCCCCTCAGAGAGTTACCCCAGCCCTCTCATAGTGCCCTGAATGATGCTGTGCCCCTGGGTGGGGTGGCTGGAGGGCAGCGAGGGTGGCATCCATTGAAAAAGGCTGATAATAAATCAGAGAAGCTCGGGGCACCCGTGAATAACCTGCCAACTGCGGGGCCGTGAGCTGGAATGGTGAAGTGTATCAGTGACAAATGAAACTCACCCTTTGGTGCAGAGTTGTTACTATATAAGGAGGATAAAAGCATTTGTTGTCAGAGCAGTAAATGAATATTCCTATTGTGTATTTGGAAAAAGAAGTCTGGCGTGCTAGTAACCACAATGAAATAATCCATCATCGTTTCATCACCGAGTACAGCAAATGTTAAACAAAAGTGGTGGGTTTCATTTGGAGGCCTGCATGATTTGGCCAGGCTTCCAGGAGGGAGCTGAAAATCTGAGACGAGAGCATCTCCCAGCCACGTGTAGGGGCCTTGCCCCTGCTCGGTTGGGGACACAG